GGTTAGGGAAATAATTCTCCTTTTCCACTGCCATGAACAACTGGTCCCTAACCCTGCCATCCAACTGTGCTCCGAAGTTGCAGTGGTTAGCCAAAGCCTTCAATTCTGCAAATAAATCCTGTACGGATTCCTGCTGCTTTTTCGTCCTCTTCTAGAAATCCATCAAACTCCTGTGATATGATGGTTTCACCACATACTGACGTTTAAGCAGAGCAATCAGGTCTACATAGGTCTTCGTGTGAGGTAGCTCCGGTGCACACAAATTTCCGAGAACACTATATGCTTCAGAACCCAGTGAAACTAAGAGTACCGCTTTCTTGTTGGCATCCTCCTTAATCTCCCGGTACTGAAAGTTTGCTTCCAGCAGGCTGAGCCACAGGTCCAACGAGATCTTGGCAGTGTTTAACGGCTCCATTGACATGAGCGGCGTAGCCATGGCCACGGTGGTAGCACACTCCACTGTTGTATGCGAAGCGTCCACTTGTCCACACGGCGTACCCTGCTCTCTCTTGATCCTCACACCACGTCTCGTACCCAGGCTCTCTGCCGGAGATGTTTAATCCTCGTCCCCACTGTTATGGTTGTGGTAAGAGAAACAATCTTCGTCCACATGGTTTTATTCTCCGCCAGTAACAACAACAAAACAATTATCAGGTACATGAAATATTATTAACAAGATCATAAACAAAAAAGCATCTGCTCCAAACATGCTACCTCCAACATCTGTAGTACTCAATCCCAACATGCGGGATAGTACCAGTGGAGTGCAGTGGTGCCATAGGGACAATTGGGGAACACTGTATAAACATCAGAGGTCTGCGGTTGTTAAACATCCTACCTGCGAGCATACGCCATAGTGCCGGTACATCCGTGGACTTCAAAAGAACACTAGCCTGTTTTCTAATAGAGGGTCCGGCCCATCCTGGCTGTGGTGGGTATGTGGGCCTGCAGGCTGCTCCAAGCAACAGCCTGGTGGACCAACCTCTCACAAGTCAACCCTAGCCTCGGGCCGGGCTTGGGGAGTTATTGAACTCCCAGTACCCCATTATGCAGGTATCGAGCAGGTATCTCTGCCGTCAGTCGTCTGGTGTGCAGGTTCCTGGGACTGCTGGATTATGTCGTGTCTCCGTTGGCCCTGACTGGGGTCTGCCTGCACGGTTCTCTGCCTTTGCAGAGGCAAGTTGCTACTTACATGTTGCGTGTTGTGTGTGGTGCATGTTGCTGCTGCACGTGTGCATTGGTAACGTGTTTTGCGGTAGCGTGTCCTAGTTCCTGTGTCAGGTTGTGGTGTGGCACTTTGCTGCTGTTTTGTGCCTGGGGTTTGCGTATGGGGGTTTGCTTGTTATTTTTCGTGGTCATCGCGTCCCCTGGCTTGGCCCTTTCATGTGCGTGGGGTTCTGTCCACGCCTGATTGTGTTTCCTGGGATTTGAGCTTTGGCTCGTTTGTCCTGCCTTTCCCCTGGTATCTCCTTTGCTCGGTTTTGCCTGCACTTGCTGCTGTATGGGGGGGGGGGTCAGTTTCCGCCGCTTCCCTTCCTTGTGCGTTCCCTTTGTTTCCTCCTCTGCCGCAAGGGTTTTCTTCATGCGTTCCTTGGCTTCTTCGGCATTCCTTCAGACTGTGTCATACGGTGGGCTCGTGTGTCTTGGTCTGTTTTCGTTGCTCATACCCTTTGATTCGGGTACTGTTCTGGTGGCAACCCTTACGCCTTCTTCGGTTTTCCTGGCTTGCCCTGCCTGTTGGCTTTTCAGGGTCTTGCGATGTCTTGCATCGGACCCGTCGTTTCTGATCTCCTGGCGGGCTTGCTTGCATTGGGGGAGCTTTCTGTTCAGCAGACGTTCCATCTCCTTTGTGCCAGCTTGGGCTTTGGTGGTCGCGCCCAAGATCTTACCGTGGCTCCGCCTTTTCCTGGGCTCGGATGAACCTTGTCGGGGCTGATTACATTCTGCCTCACGTGTCTTGCCTCCGGTTGGTGGCATAGTGGCTTCATAGTTGGTGTCCCACCTGCATACTTCTTCTTGGCAGCAGTATGGGGTATTTTGGCAGTCCTTCCATTTCCTCCTGTCCCTTCTTATGTGGCTGCGGCTGTTAGCGTCTGCTTGGTTTTTCTGGTGGGGGTTGGGGGCCGTCGTCTTGCCACATACTGTCGCCTCGTTTCGTGTGGCACTGGCGGAGCCGCTTCGGCTTGCTTTCGATCTTGATGTTGCTTCTGCACCGTTAGTAAGCTGTCTTGTGCATTGTTTCACCTCCGGCCTGTTCATGCACCGCTTGCACTGTCCTGATCTCTGGTTAGCGTGCTCTGTCTTCTCCTCGGTTGGTGGTGCCCCTTCAGTTCCGGTTTGTTTTTCGCCGGCTCTTTTTCCTGTTGACATTTTCCTCTGGGGGGTCGGGTCGCTGGGCTTCTTGCTCTCTTCCGCAGGGGTTTTCTGCTCCTTCGGTCTTGGCGTTTTGGTTGTTCGGTGGCAGCCATCTCCATCTTTTCTGGCACGGAATGGGGCTGCTGCGGTCCGGAGGGGTCCTTGGTTTGTTGGTGCTTGGTTGGTCAGGCCGGAGGTGTGGTGTGTTTTGTGTTCAGTAGCAGCCCTTCGCTGTTATTTGCGTGCCGCGGTCTCTATGTCCGGGGCGCGCTTTGAGTTGATCCGGTTCCATTCTTCCCTGTTCGCGGGTGAAGGTGTCCTGGGTTGTCTGCCGTGTTATTGCGGCTAGCCTGTCTGTGTTCTTTCCCCATGCCCGTGACGTTCGTGGCTTTGCTGCTCTTGCTGCCGTCTGGGTGGCTTGTCCTTGCTGTCATTAGGGCATGGATCTTTTGGTGTTCATACAGGGGCCTTGCTGCTTGTTGTCTCGTGTTGTTCCCGGGCCCTTTCGGGGCTGTGTCGCCTTGGGTTGGCGTTTGCTGCCGGTTGTCTCGCTTCCGTTGAGGGTTGCGTGGTGTCCGCCTCCCGGTTCCGTCCCTTTGACCTTCCTCTGTGGGTACTTAGCTCAGGGGAGCCGACGGGGCTCCCCCAAGAAAACCAGCGTTGAATGTAATGAAACGCTATTTTCTGGGTGAGACCCGGAGGCTCCCCGGCAACTCTCCCTCCCTCCGGTTGGCGGTTTTTTGTGTGTTTTGACATCCAGCCTCAGAACTGATGGGTGGATAGCCGGCGTGAGAGGTCTGGGGCTCCCCCTTCCCCCTCCCGGGGAGGGGAGGAGCTGCGCAGACAGCGGCGCGGTGACGTCATACTAGTTTGCTTGTTTTCGGTTGGGGAGTTCTATCCACTAGTTCGACTTTAGGTAGCAACTTTAACCAGAATAGGGGTTTGTTTTGGGATGCTTACCTTTCTGGATGCTTGACCCGGTCGATGGCAGACATAGAATGCTTCTAACCACACGGGGGTTTCTAAAGCTCCCCTTGCCTCTCTGAGGGAGCCAGGTTCTGGCTGTGGTCCCCGGTAGGCCCTAGAACTCCATACACATGACTGATGTCAAAGTCTGACATTAGCATATCAGCCTGGTAAAGCTCCGGGGAGCCGACGGGGCTCTCCCCCCCCCCCAGAAAAGGTTCTCAACCCCTGCCCTAGATAGACCAATAACTACCCATTTCCAGGATACAACCCACAACAGTCACCCACCTACCAGTTACCTATTTACTGCCAGGTGAACAAAGTCATCAGATGTTAGGAAAAGTGTCAAAATGTCTTGCTCTTTCCAACAATCAAACTCAAGTCTAATTGTTTAAGAGCAGTCTATGCTATCTACAGTCACTACTCACTGTTTCAGACCACAGTAACTCGAATCTCTAGGCAACTTGGTCAAAATCGAGGCCAAGTTTTGTCATGTTCACAGAAAATGGTACCATCCGTTTTCTATGTGTGGCGGAGCAGACGCCAAAGAGAGAAGGTAAACAGAGCGTACAGGACGCCCGCCAAACTTGGTAGCTACTAGTCATGTAAACCCTTAAGTATTAAAGTCAGTAACCAAGCAATGGCTTTATATCAACCCCACAACCAAGACTTCCTCAGTAACACACAAACACCACAAGTTTGAGTCTCTTAATTTCCACAAAATCCAAATTACGTAGGTTACCTGTTGGGTAATTGGATGGCGCATGGCAACCTATGCGCCATTTGCGTTGGCAGCCTATATGTGTCACACTGCACATGTACATTAAAATATTGGTTTTGTAACAAAATGTATAATAAATTATGTCAAATATTGCACAAAAGTTATTGTTAGAAATACTGTTACTAGTTATGTATCCTCTTTCCTTGTCTCTTATCGAACATAAGAAAAATGCAGTTCCTTCATACTCCAACCCTCTTACTGTACTTCTGGGACCAGTCTTGTAATATGCTCTAGTAGTGGTCCCATATTGGTTGTGTATAGTGCCCTGAATGACTGTGTGTAATTACCGAGGTAATTACATGTAATTACAGGACGAGAACTGTGTTTGTGGTGTCCCGACTTCCCAGTATTTTGGCATGCGATGCTTTGAGTTATTGTGGGTTTTAGTATCCATTACCTTCTCACATAACTTGCTTCAACTGTCTACCATTCTACAAAAGAGAACTTTCTAATGTTTTTTTGGCAGCTTTGTTTCCTTAACTCTATGATATCTTGTTCTTGAAGTTGTAGGTTTCAAGAATTTTGCTGATTTTGCTTGCATCTGTATGCGTGTGTTTTATTAATTTGCCTCATGATGCAGTTGAATCAAATGTGAACAAATCCACACGGGCCGTGATGAGGGTTCGAACCTACAGCCGGGATGATCCCAGACGCGCCTTAGGCGACTGCGTTGACTAAGACTAAGACTTAGTCGACTAAGGCGTGGCTGGGATCATCCCGGACATAGGTTCAAACCCTAATCACGGCCCTTGTGGATTTTTTTTTTTTTTTTATGTATCACACTATTGTGATTTTTATGTGCAAATAAATGTGTTTACTTTTTAACTCTACTTGTTTCAAATATCTATCATGATTCATATGTTGTTTGTGTGTTTGAGCTGCTTCTCATGTGTTTCAGTTGTGTTTCGTTGGTCAAGATTGCCAGAGGATTCCCAGTATCCTTGGAGCAACCTATGGCCTCCAGACGAAGCGCCTTGATCTCTCCTACAACTCCATCAGGTAAATCACATCCATTAACCAAACTCCACTGTACTTTCTTTCTTATTCTCTGTCTTGTTTTAGTTTTCATAATATTGTTTTGTGTTTTCCATTACTCTGTCATTTAATGACTTTACATGGACTGGGTTGACAATACTTAAGAACTTGCAGCTTTATTTAGCACAATTATTTATTAGTTTCTATATATAGTGAAGCTTTTAACTCATGTGTAGCAACACCTTAGTATTTAGTTTGTATTTACCTATTAATGACTGGGGAAGTGAGGACACGTCATTTTTCTTTCTACTGCTTGCGGTTCACTTTCTAAACTTATATATCCCCTCAATCATCCTTGCCTACCTTACCCTTGACAATGTTTCCAACATGAACATCACCTCTTCTTCTCTCTTCAACTACCCTCTTCCTTGCTCTGCTGTCACTGGAGGCTCACCTGTCCCTACTTGGCAGGTCACTAGATGGGTTGGACAAGTTCCCTTTCCTGGAAGAACTCATCCTCGACAACAACTTCATTGATGACAGCGTCCTGATACCTCACCTCGACACCCTCCATACCCTCTCCCTCAACAAAAATAAGGTGAGGAAAATACTGGGGGGTAAGAGAAAAAGTGGATAGGGTGAGAGAAGGACTTGGAGAGGAAAAGGGGGAGTTAAGTGAAAGGGTAGAATGAGAGAAAAGGGCTAGGAGAATGGTAAAATGGCCCGCTTACACATTTACCAGCTCCAAACACAAATAAAAATGTCCCCCAAACATAACTAGATGCTCTAAATGAATATGAGCTTTCATTTGTATATACCATAACTTAAATTATAGCCCCAGAAACTGCAATTCTCCCCACCAAAAGCTGCATGAGAATGCCCCCAGCAACATCATGTGTACTGTTTAGTGTTCCTGCTTTCCATTTGTCTCTCAACATGTTCCGCCGGCTCCTTCAACCTAGTTTGTGTGCCCATGTTTGTATATTGAACGTCTTGGGACATGATCTGAGATTTGAGTTTTAGCTTAGTTTATTATGTATTATGTATTTATTTATTTATTTATTTATTTATATACAAAAAGGTACATTGGGTTTATGAGAATACATAGCATGGTATTTATAATCTTGTAAAGCCACTAGTGCGCACAGCGTTTCGAGCAGGTCCTTAACCTAACAGATAATTTTAAGTAGGTAAATTCTAGTGGAATTAATAAAATGATAACAGATACATTGCAAGAAAGAAAAAATGAGATGAGAGAGATTAGTAGGTATATTAAAGCTCTGATTGATTGCATTGACAGCTTGATTGATAATTTAAACGAAGATTAATAGGCACCATACAGCAAATTGAAAGCACATATAAGAAGACAGCAATGATCACAATGGTAAAGTTGTTTGGATTGGGTACATGAAGATTGGGAGATTGAGTAGCACTAGATACAGTGCAATTTTAAAGCAATAAGGTAGAAAACTGTGAAGATGAAATTAGGTATTTTTTAGTTTTGTATTTGAATGACGCAAAAGTTGGACAGTTTTTCAACTCATTACGGAGTGAGTTCCATAGACTAGGTCCCTTTAAAAAAAATAAAATAAAATAAAATAATTTATTTAGGTAAGGTACATACATACAATAAATTTTTACAAAGATTGGTTGACTTATAGGTAGAGCTAGTACATACAATGCCTAAAGCCACTATTACGCAAAGCGTTTCGGGCATGATAAACTTAAATGACAAGCTTAATACTAATTGAGCATAATGAGTAGAATGAAAACAAGAAATGAAAACATAGATGAAAAAGCAGCACAAATACAATTAAGTCGACAAACAGCGCTCATTAAAGAAAAACAGACATTGGTTGACAATAGAAGGGTAAGGTAGGTTACAGGGAATTTATTAGGTATAGCTTCGCTTTTAACTTAAACTGGTTGAGAGAGGTACAGTCTTTAACATGGTTGGGAAGGTCATTCCACATTCTGGGCCCCTTGATTTGTAGAGCATTTCTAGTTTGATTAAGTCGTACTCTAGGAATATCAAAACTGTATTTATTTCTGGTGTGGTGCTCATGGGTTCTGTTACATCCTTCTATGAAGCTTTTGGGATCAGGATTGGCATTATAGTTTAGCGTTTTATATATGTATAATACACATGAGAGAATGTGCAGTGACTTAATGTCTAACATATTCAGAGATTTGAGTAGGGGTACCGAGTGATGTCTGGGGCCAGAGTTGGATATTGTCCTAATAGCAGCTTTGTGTTGGGTAATTAGAGGACGTAAGTGATTTTGGGTAGTAGAGCCCCAAGTACAAATACCATAGTTGAGATATGGATAGATAAGGGAGTAATAGAGAGTAACCAGGGCAGGGCGGGGTACATAATATCTGATCTTAGAAAGAATGCCAACAGTTTTTGAAACTTTTTTTGATATATTTAGAATGTGTCCCTGGAAATTCAGCTTGTTATCGATGAGAACGCCAAGGAATTTGCCATCTAATTTGTTACAAATTTGAGTATTGTTTATTTTGAGATTTATTTGACTAGAGGATTTATTGCCAAACAGAATATAGAAAGTTTTGTCAATGTTAAGGGTGAGTTTGTTGGCAGTTAGCCAAAGATGGACTTTATTTAGCTCAGTATTTACTGCGGCATTTAGAGCAAGGGGGTCAGGACTGGAGTAAATGAAGGTTGTGTCGTCAGCAAATAGAATTGGTTTGAGGTGTTGGGAGGCATTTGGAAGGTCATTAATGTAGATGAGAAAGAGGAGAGGGCCAAGTATGCTGCCCTGAGGAACACCAATGTTGATGGGTAGGGTGGGAGAAATTGCATTATTCACAGAAACATATTGGAGCCTGTCAGTAAGGTAGGATTTGAGGTATTGTAGGGAGTGTCCTCTGACTCCATAATGATGTAATTTAAGAAGGTTTTGGTGGTTGACAGTATCAAAAGCTTTACGCAGGTCCACAAATAACCCAACAGGGAACTTCTTTTTATCAAGAACTGTATGAATCGAGTTAAGCATACTAATAAGTGCATCGTTAGTGCTTTTTTTGGGTCTGAAGCCATATTGGCAAGGGCTAAGTATATTGAGTTTGGCTAGATATGAGTAAAGCTGCTTATAGATTAGTTTTTCAAAAATTTTTGACAAGTTTGGCAGGATTGATATAGGTCTGTAGTTGTTAACATCTGTGGGATCACCACATTTGTGGACAGGCGTTACTCTCGCTTTTTTTAGAATATCTGGAAAGGTTTGGAGTTCAAGTGACTTGTTGAAGAGCAAAGCAATAGCAGGGGCTAAAGATCTGGAGGCTTTTTTGTAAATTAAAGTTGGTATCTTCTCAAGGGCACTTTATTTGCATAGAGTGTTTGCACAGATTAAGTTTGACTCTGGGAATATCAAAGAGAGATTTATTTCTGGTGTGGTGATAATGGGTCCTATTACAACTGTCCAGGGAGAGTTTCAGAGCAGGATTTGCATTTAAGAACAGGGTTTTGTAAATGTAGTTGACACAAGAGAATGTGTGGAGTGAGATTATGTTTAGCATGTTTAGGGAGTTAAACAATGGGGCTGTGTGTTATCTGAAAGCAGAATTTGTTATTATTCTCTGATAGCAGATTTTTGCGGGGTGATGATGGACCTGAGGTGGTTTGCAGTGGTTGAACCCCATGCACAGATACCATAATTAAGATAGAGATAGATTAGTGCATAATATAGTGAGATGAGAGCAGAGGTACATAATATCTGATTTTGGAGAGTATACCAACTGTTTTAGAGACTTTCTTAGTTGTGTGTTGTAGGTGGGTGCTGAAGTAGAGTCTCTTGTCTAGGAATAGGCCAAGAAACTGTCCATCATTTTTACTACTAATGTTAACATTGTCTATCTGAAGCTGAATTGCATTTGTTGATTTGCTTCCAAATAAGATGTAGTAGGTCTTTTCTATGTTAAGTGTTAGTCTGTTGGTTGACATCCATAAGTGGACTTTTTTTTTAGTTCATTATTAACAACATTATTTAGTGTATGTGGGTTGGGGTTAGAGTTGATGCAACCCGTTCTCGCAAATTCGTAAAGTCAATATTGACTTATTAACTACGTGCATAGGTGATATACTAAACATAATAGATACCCTTAAAAAGATTCATAGAAAACACCGACCTTACCTAACCTTGTTAGTATCTTAAGATAAGCATCTTATTGCTTCGTAATTACAATTATTACTTAACCTATACCTATTATAGGTTAGGTAATAATTGTAATTACGAAGCAATAAGATCCTTATCTTAAGATACTAACAAGGTTAGGTAAGGTCGGTGTTTTCTATGAATCTTTTTAAGGGTATCTATTATGTTAAGTGTCACCTATGCACATATTTAATAAGTCAATATTGACTTATTAAATTTCCGAGAACGGGTTGCTAGATGAGGGTAGTATCATCAGCAAACAATATAGGTTTCAGAACGTTGGTGACATTAGGTAGATCATTGATGTATATAAGAAATTTTTCTTTTTCAACAATGTTCCCCCCTCTTTTACCTTTATTTTTATTTGTACTCAACACATTTTATTCTTTTTACCCATTAGTTTTAAGCTTTAGTCATTAGTGTTTTTTCCTGCCCGAAACGCTTTGCGTAATAGTGGCTTTAGGCATTGTATGTACTAGCTCTATCTATAAGCCAACAAACATTGTAAAATCTCTTTATGTATGTACCTTTACCTAAATAAAAATTATTATTATTATATTATGAAATAGGAGAGGTCCCAAGATGCTGCCCTGTGGCACTCCAACGGTTATTGGTAGAGTGGGAGAGGTTATATCATTGATGGCCACACATTGGTGTCTATCACTAAGATAGGATTGGATATAGTCCAGGGCATGGCCTTGGATTCCATAATGATGGAGTTTACATAAGAGGTAGTTGTGATTAACAGTATCAAAGGCCTTTCTCAGGTCAATGAAGAATCCAATCGGAAACTCATTTTAGTCAAGGGCTGAATAAATTATATCAAGTTAGTTTAGTTCATTTATTATGCACCCCATACCCATCTTGTGGGAGGTAGTGGAAAGGGTTAGAGGCACATAATGGGCTCAGGGACTGAACCTCACAATTCATTTAGCTAAGCAAGTTACAATCTTGATGAGCTAGTTACAAAATTCAGTATAAGTCGTCACAATATCAAGGAGACTAATAATTGCATCGTTGGTACTCTTTTCTGGGGGGAGCCCCGTCGGCTCCCCGGAGCTATCCCAGGCTGATATGCTAATGTCAGACTTTGGCATCAGTCATGTGTATGTTCTTAGGCCTACCGGGGACCACGGCCAGAACCGGGCCCCCTCAGAGAGGCAAGGGGAGCAATGGCCTATAGAAGCCCCTGTGTAGTTGGAAGCATTCTATGTCTGCCATCGACCGGAACAGGCACCCAGAAAGGTAAGCGCCCCAAAACAAACCCCTATTCTGGTTAAAATTGCTACCAAAAACCGAACTAGTGGATAGAACTCCCCAACCGAAAACAAGCAAACTAGTGTGACGTCACACACTGCCGCGCCGCTGTCTGCGCAGCTCCCCCCTCCCCGGGAGGGGGAAGGGGGAGCCCCAGACCCCCCGC